TTCCCCCCAATAGAGCACACCTCGGTGATTTCAGCTGCATTTGCGTCAGCTTTCCGTTTTTTAGATACAGTGATAATGACCGTGCGTTCTGTTCGAGGGAAGACGGTAGGCAATATGAACGGCGATGGAGAATGGAGAGTCGTCCGAGAGAAGGAAAAAAAAGAAAGAAAAAAGAAGACGGCGACGACGACGACGACGACGACGAAGAAGAAGAAGAAGAAGACGGGGAGGAAGAAGAAGAAGAGGAAGAAGAAGTGGAAGTTCGGCAAGGGGAGAAGAACCTTAACCTTAACAAGTTAACAACTATAATAATAATAATAATAATAATAATAATAATAATAATAATAATATTAATAAGAAAAATAATAAAGTCGCTTTCAAACTTATATATCGTCACAAACAGAACTGCCCGGTAAAACCGTAGGCAGAGAGAGAGAAGAGGACAACAAACGAGGGGCTGTGACATGAGGAGAAAATAAGGAGGTGGACCATATCAAGAGAAGGAAGAAAATCAGGAACGAGTAGAGCATTACAGTAAGTACGAGTTAGGGGCATACGCACCCACGAAGTTTCGTGCATGCACATGATCGCAATTACGACCAGTTTCATTTAAAAAAGGGGCGGGTTTGAGGACAGTGCGTAGATGAGGTAGAGGTAGAGGTAGAGGGTAGACGAAAGCGTGAAGAGAAATTTGGAGGGTGGTTGCAGAAGGGGAAATATTAAGTTGAGGACGAGGCGAAGACGAGAGAAAGTTCGGAGAATGGAGGGAGAAAGCTCGTCGAGCAGTCACTGGAAATACTTAAGCTCATCGGATGGAGAACTATTTCCTGAAACGTGCGAAACCCTAATTAGCTGGGCAACCAAAATTTAACTGAAATGCTGAAGTAACTAAACCCTGAGTGTAGTGTGTTTGATTGTGTCTATATATATAGCCGCCTCCTGATTGTAATGACAATATATAGCCGCCTCCTGCAGTGGTCGGGGCCGTCACTACGCGGCCATGCTGTGCCTCTAGTGCCAGCAGCGTGTCTGGAGTGTATTTTTTGGCTGTGACAGACCTTTCTTTGTTTCGTGGGTGTTTTGTTGGCTTGTGATGGGGTGTGAACCGACAGTCTGTAGAGTTTTCCATCTGGTGTGGGTGAGTGATAGTCTACTTTGATTTTGGTTAAGGTGGATTATCACTTACAGTGTAATCAGTGAGGGGATTCTACAGACTGTTG